CTGTCCCCAGGGAGGTTCTGTCTGTTGCCGCCGCTCTCTGTGGGCCGGAGCTGGAGCGTTTCGGTCGCTGCGTGGCCGCGAGCGCCGGGAGCTGGGCCCGGGATTGTCACCAACTGTCCCTGAGCGTCACCCGCTGCACCTCCCACCAGTGAGTGACACAAACTGGGAGCACTGGGATTGTCACTGAGTGTCCCTGAGCGTCACCCGCTGCACCTCCCACCAGTGAGTGACACAAACTGGGAGCACTGGGACCAGTGAGTGCCTCAAACTGGGAGCGTTTTTCCTGATTTTCCCCCCATTTTTTCCCAAATTTTTTCCCAATTTTCCCCAATTTTTTCCTGATTTTTTCCCCAAATTTTCCTTGATTTTTTCCTGATTTTTCCCAATTTTCCCCCCATTTTTCCCAATTTTTCCCCTGATTTTTTCTGATTTTTCCTCCATTTTTTCCTGATTTTCCTCCAATTTTTCCCAAATTTTCCCTGATTTTTTCCTGATTTTTCCCCAATTTTTTACGATTCTTCCCCCATTTTCCCCCCAATTTTCCCCCATTTTTTCCCAATTTTCCCCCATTTTTCCCCCAATTTTTCCCCAAATTTTCCCCAATTTTTCCCCATTTTTTCCCCATTTTTCCCCATTTTTCCCCAATTTTCCCCCATTTTTCCCCATTTTTTCCCCATTTTTCCCCAATTTTTCCCCAAATTTCCCCCAATTTTCCCCCATTTTTCCCCAATTTTCCCCCAATATTTCCCCAATTTTCCCCAATTTTTCCCCCTTTTTTCCCCAATTTTCCCCATTTTTTCCCCAATTTTCCCCCATTTTTCCCCCAATTTTCCCCCAATTTTTCCCCAATTTTCCCCAATTTTTCCCCATTTTTTCCCCAATTTTCCCCAATTTTCTCCCCAATTTTCCCCCATTCTTTTCCCCATTTTTTCCCCATTTTTTCCCCATTTTCCCCCCATTTCCCCCCAATTTTTTCCCGACTTTCCCCGCTCTTTCCCAGCCCCCTGGTGCGCCGGATCCGCCGGGATTGCTCGGATTCCTTCGGAGCGTTCGAGCGCTGCCTCCGGGACCGGCCCCGGGACGCGGCCGAGTGCGGCCCCCACGTCCAGGAATTCCTGAGCTGCGCCCAGAACGTCACCCGGGAACATTCCCGGAATTCCAGCCGCGATTCCAGCCCCGGAGGTGAGGGGGGATCGCTGCGAGTCGGAATTTCGGGAGAAAAATGGGGAAAAAAATTCCATTTTTATTCCATTTTTGTCTCCCAATTCTTGTTCTGTGCCCCAATTCCATCCCAAAATTCCATCCCAAAATTCCATCCCAAAATTCCATCCCAAAATTCCAGCCCTGGAGCTGATTCCAGGATCCCTTTGGAGTCGGAATTTTGGGATAAAAATGGGAAAAAAAATTCCATTTTTACTCCATTTTTGTCTCCCAATTCTTGCTCTGTGCCCCAATTCCATCCCAAAATTCCATCCCAAAATTCCAGCTGGAATTCCAGCCCTGGAGCTGATTCCAGGATCCCTTTGGAGTTGGAATTTTGGGATAAAAATGGGAAAAAAATTCCATTTTTACTCCATTTTTGTCTCCCAATTCTTGCTCTGTGCCCCAATTCCATCCCAAAATTCCATCCCAAAATTCCATCCCAAAATTCCATCCCAAAATTCCAGCTGGAATTCCAGCCCTGAATCCAAAACCCCTGGAAGCAAATTCGGAGCTGGAATTTCGGGATAAAAACTGGATCAGAATTCCCTAAAATCCACCTTTTTTTTTTTTTTCCCCATGGAAAAAATGGAATTTTGGGATAAAAATTGGAATTTTCTCCCTTTTTATTTTTTTTTTTTCCCCCTTTCCAGAGAATCCCTGGAATTAAAACTCCTCCGGAAAAGCCTCGGAACCTTCCGGAACCTTCGGAATTTCCCCTCTGGAAAAGGAGCTGATCCCGAATTTCCGGAACATTCCCGGAGTTTGGATCCCAAAAATTGGAGAGGAAAAAAAAAAGAAAAATAAAAAATTCCAGCGGGAATTTCCCCGGGAAGGGGCCAAAAATTGGGATTTTCCTTCTTTTTTATTCCCAGATTTTCCCTCTTTTTTTCCCAACTTTTTCCCCCTTTTTATTCCCAACTTTTCCTCCCAAAGAGCCCCAAAATTCCCGGGAATTCCAACCCCACCCCCCCCCCCCAAAAAAAATTCCCAAAACTTTTCCCATTTATTTTATTTTTTTTTCCTGGGATTTATTTAAAATCCTCCAGGAAAATTCCCAAAAATCGGGAGAAGGGGGAAAATCCCAAATTCCGGTTTTTGGGATTCCCGGGATTGGGAATTTTGGGATTTCTGGGAATTCCGGGATCGGGAATTTTGGGATTTCCAGGATTCCCTGGGTTGGGATTCCCGGGATTTCCCTGGACTGGGAATTTGGGGGTTCTTGGGATTGGGAATTTTGGGATTTCTGGGAATTCTGGGATTGGAATTTCAGGGAATTCCAGGATTGGGATTCCCGGGATTTCCCAGGACTGGGAATTTTGGGATTTCTGGGAATTCCAGGATTCCAGGGATTGGGAATTTTGGGATTTCTGGGAATTCCGGGATTGGAATTTCAGCGATTTCCAGGATTGGGATTCCCGGGATTTCCCAGGACTGGGAATTTTGGGATTTCTGGGAGTTCCAGGATTCCTGGGATTGGGAATTTTGGGATTTCTGGGAATTCCGGGATTGGAATTTCAGCGATTTCCAGGATTGGGATTCCCGGGATTTCCCAGGACTGGGAATTTTGGGATTTCTGGGAGTTCCAGGATTCCTGGGATTGGGAATTTTGGGATTTCTGGGAATTCCAGGATTCCAGGGATTGGGAATTTTGGGATTTCTGGGAATTCCAGGATTCCTGGGATTGGGAATTTTGGGATTTTCAGGATTTCTGGGACTGGGATTCCCGGGATTTCTGGGAATTCCGGCATTCCCGGGCTGTCAGGAGGTGAAGTAGGAGCTCTGCATGGAGTACAGGCGCTCCATGGGATTCCCGGGCTCCGGAATTCCCGGAATTCCGGGATGGAGCCGCTCCAGGCCATTCCCAAACTCCGGAATTCCGGGAATTCCAGGATAAAGCAGCTCCAGGCCATTCCCAGACACCGGAATTCCGGGATGGAGCCGCTCCAGGGGATTCCCAAACTCCAGAATTCCCGGAATTCCGGGATAGAGCCGCTCCAGGGGATTCCCAGGGTCCAGAATTCCCGGAATTCCGGGATGGAGCCGCTCCAGGGGATTCCCAAACTCCAGAATTCCCGGAATTCCGGGATAGAGCCGCTCCAGGGGATTCCCAGGGTCCGGAATTCCGGGATGGAGCCGCTCCAGGGGATTCCCGGGCTCAGGAATTCCGGGAATTCCGGCATTCCCGAGGTTTGCCCGCCGGGAATTCTCGGTGGATCCCGGAGCGTCCCCGGGAGACTCCTGGAAAATTCCCGAGCCTGGGAAAAGGCGGAAAAACCTCGGGAAAAGGGAATTGGGGAAGGGGGAAAACCGGGATGGGGCCTCGGCATTCCCGGTTTTCCACCCCCATTCCCGATTTTCCACCCCCATTCCCAGTTTCCCATCCCCATTCCCGGTTTCCCATCCCCATTCCCGGTTTTCCACCCCCATTCCCGGTTTTCCACCCCCATTCCCGGTTTTCCACCCCCATTCCCGGTTTTCCACCCCCATTCCCGATTATTTCCCCATTCCCAGTTGGCCGTTCCCATTTTCCCAATTCCCATTTTCCCACCCCCATTCCCGGTTTTCCATCCCCTTTTCCCAATTTCCCAAATCCCAATTTTCCCAATTTTCCCAATTCCCAATTCCCAATTCCCAATTTTCCCAATTCCCAATTCCCAATTTTCCCAATTCCCAATTCCCAATTTTCCCAATTCCCAATTTTCCCGCCATTCCCGACCTTCCCGATCCCGATCCCGATCCCGATCCCGGCCTCTCCTCCCCTCTGGAATTTCCCCTCTGGAATTCCCGAGCTGCTCCTGCTGCTGCCGGCGGGCGAGCTTCTTCATCTGCCGGCGGGAAAACCGGGAAAATCCCGGGAAAAACCCCGGGAAAACCCCGGGAAAAACCCCGGGATTCGCCGGGAAAAACCCGGGAATTCCGGGAATTCCGGGAATTCCCACCTTGGCTCGTTGGTTCTGGAACCAGACCTGGACCACTCGAACCGTCAGCCCCGTCTGGGCCGCCAGCGACTCCCGCACCTGGGAATGCCGGGAATTCCCGGAATTCCGGAATGGGGAGGGGAAATCCCGGGAATTCCCGGAATTCCGGAATGGGGAGGGGAAATCCCGGGAATTCCCGGAATTCGGGAATGGGGAGGGGAAATCCCGGGAATTCCCGGAATTCCGGAATGGGGAGGGGAAATCCCGGGAATTCGGGAATGGGGAGGGGAAATCCCGGGAATTCCTGGGGATTTGGGAATGGGGAGGGGAAATCCCGGGAATTCCTGGGGATTTGGGAATGGGGAGGGGAAATCCCGGGAATTCGGGAATGGGGAGGGGAATTCCCGGGAATTCCCAGAATTCAGGAATGGGGAGGGGAAATCCCGGGAATTCCCGGGGATTCAGGAATGGGGAGGGGAATTCCCGGAATTCCGGAATGGGGAGGGGAAATCCTGGGAATTCCCGGAATTCGGGAGCGGGGAGGGGAAATCCCGGGAATTCTGGCCCGGGCTGACGGCGATTTGGGATGGAGAGATCTGGGAATGGGGATGGAATCCCAGCCCCGATCCCAGAATTCCAACCCCAGGATTCCATCCCAGAATTCCATCCCAGAATTCCATCCCAATCCCAGGATTCCATCCCAGAGTTCCAATCCCGATCCCAGAATTCCAACCCCAGGGTTCCAATCCTGATCCTGATCCCAGAATTCCAACCCCAATCCCAGAATCTCAATCCTGATCCCAACCCCAATCCCAGAACTCCATCCCAAAACCCCATTCCCGATCCCAGAACCCCGACATTCCCGACATTCCCGACATTCCCGATCCCATTCCCGACATTCCCGATATTCCCAATATTCCCGATCCCATTCCCGATCCCATTCCCGACATTCCCAATATTCCCGATCCCATTCCCGATCCCATTCCCGACATTCCCGATCCCATTCCCAATCCCATTCCCA